GTATTTGCTCTTTTTATTATTGAATAGCCTGTAATAAACAAATCTTGGACAATTTGAGTGTGACAAACCTAATTCGGGATTCCTTTTACAGCTTTTTAAAAATAAAAATAAAAACAGTCTGTGAGAAAGGGAGAGGGGCAAAAAGAGCTGGCATCCGTCCACTGTAAATTCTTCACCCCCCTCGTTGCACTTGGATGATTGTTATTCATTCTCATGCTTCATTAATGTGGTCAGTCTCCACATCTGACTTTGATAAACATGCCATCACTTTATTCCACATAAGACCATGGCTTTACAAATTTATTCTTTAGTTGGATCACAACTACGATGGCAGGTTGTGCCACACAGAGCTTGCCTGAAAATACAAGAATCTACACAGATCATTGAATGAAGTAACATAAAACACATTGGCATCTCCGACGGCCCTCGTCAGTTCATATCAACAGCAAGTTTTTGACAGACTTCCCAGACCATACTAATATTAAAATCTAAGCCAACAAAAAATATGGAGCAGCCAAGCCAGACTGTGCCAGGCTGGATTCCTTCTCAAAATGGCTAGGCACAGTTTTCTTCATTCTTGAAACAGTCAGTGCTTTCAAGGTATCCTCTTGTTCAAATACAGGTCAGATGAAGACTAGATGACAAACACCGAGCCTTTTCCTGTCAACGACACAATTGTCAACTGACAAAAGGCTTTGATAAGCACAATCTCCATCAGATAGTGATCTAACCCTGTAAACTCACCTGTGGATCTTAGATACGCACACCTCCAGCTACCATCCCCCATTCTGCTTCCTAGCCAGAGATATGAGTGCATTTAACTGAGGAATGCCATGCCATTGTTTTGGCTGAACTCAAAGCGGGTGACTTCAAGGAGCGACCCGCGGTGCACTCGTCTAGCCTGTGCCTAAGCTCATCACTACGGGGAAATCTTAGCACAAGGATCAAAACCTTGACTTCAGGGATGTGATCAAAAGAGATCTAATACTGAATTATGCTTGAAAGCAAAGGACTTTGATTGAGCACTGAGTCGTCTCATTGGGATGAATCTTTTGTAAACAGGTGTAAAATATTTCATTATGAGTGAAATGCTCACCATAGTTTCTGCCTGACCTTATTCAGTGTATTTGTGGGGTTTACCACAAGATAAACCACACAAATACCATATACTCACTGGTGTTAGTTTGGATGTGTCCAAGTACTTTTTATGTACTCCCCACTTGTATAATATTAAATGTATACACTAACATTCAAAAGGGCCGGTAAGATTTTTACATGTTTTTGAAAGAAGTCGCTTATGCTCACAAAGGCTGCACTTATTTGATCAACAACACAGTAAAAACTGTAATATTGTGAAATTTTATTACAATTTAAAATAAATGTTTTCTATTTTTATATATTTTAAAAGGTAATTTATTCCTGTAATGGCAAAGCTGAATTTTCTGCAGTCTTTACTCCAGTCTTCAGTGTCACATGGTGCTTCAGAAATCATTTTAATATGCTGATTTGGGGTCATGAAACATTTCTTAATTTTATCAATGTTTAAAACAGTTGTACTGCTTAATCTTTTTTTGTGGAAACAATAAAAAACATCATAGTTCGTTTTTTTTTTTAAGTGCACGTTTCCTTCTGTTGCACTTGACCTAATGGATTTAGAATGCAATAACAAAATTATGCAAATACAGACTAAGAAGGTAAACAGCCTAATTATACAGGGCTTTCATTCCATTGTGTGCTGGAAGCTAGTGTGAATTATTTTTGCAATTGCATTTAGTGACACTAGTGGCAGTGAATTGACAAATTTCACCTTTAAAGTCACAATGAAATGGAAGTTCACACTATTTTCTAAATGCATCCTAATGATCTTGTTGTGAATGATTCATCTTTCAAAAAATGTCTTGATACCGTAAATTTTAATCAAAATGACGTATCTGGATCTTCTGGTGAAACAACACACTTCTCTCTGGTGATGTATGCTGGACTCCTCCAATCATTTAATCTGTTTAAAAAGCACACACATTAATGTCTTTTTGAATGAATGTATTCTGACAAGATCGTCTGCAGCTATTCACTAAAATGCAGCACTGCATGCTTCAAATTGAACTTTGAATGGTGAATCTGTGCAGCAATGATGCAGTAAAGTTGAATATGAGGTAAGGATGGAGGGTCTAAAATAGACAACTGCACAATTCAAGACCTCCAGCACACAATCATACATAAAGCATATGTGTTGCATGCTTACATGTTTACAATCAATAACAATTGTTTAGTTTTGTTCAGGTAACTGTCTTTTTGCTGCCCCCTGCTGGTAAGAGGATTAGATAGGAGATTAACTTAAACTCGAGATCATCTTTCCTGTCAGTCAGATTCAATAGGTATCAGTGATGTTTCATATTGCATGGTACCCAATACACACAATTGTGCATAAACGACACTACTCAGCCTCACATAGCTGCAAATAATGACAACTTAATCCAATTGTGTAAGGCTCTCAACCTTCATCTAATCCACATGTTGTTGCTCACTGAAGCTGAACACCAAAACAACAATGCAGATTATCCATACATAGAGGTCTTCACTGATTTGCACCTTCTTCCAAGCCAAAACAATAAGCCCACAGGCTTTTACAAGACATTCACTGTCAAGAGTGACAGACGGGCTCAACCCAGAATTGTGGGCACAGAAACCCCCTCAAACCAGGAACAGCCACTCAATTGTATCGCCTCCACTGTGGGTCACGGGCTGCTATGGGAAGCAGGAAGTCTAACGCAAAGCATTTTTGTCGCTGGCACACAATGCAGCTCGTATGAACTTAAAGGAATGAGTATAGACATCTGGGCTAAAATGCATATTTTGGCAGATGTCCTTTATTAGGATTTTACATTCGAGCTCTGGTTTTCACTTTTGATTGGCAGGGCCTTGATATAAAGATATTTCCCATTGTCATTCTGTATATGTCAATTAATTTGATGAATAATATAATAACAGCAATATTATTTTTAATATAATAATATGAATATGAATAATTGTATATTACTATTTTAAACTGTTTTAGTATTGGGTCTTGTATTTGAAATTAATTAAGTTGTCAATGTGACGATTTACACAAAAAGGTCAAAAATGAGTAATGAATGAGTAATGACTATATTAATAATGTAACTTAATTTAGAACCTAATATATATATATATATATATATATATATATATATATATATATATATATATATATATATATATATAT